GAATCATTAACCATGTTGTCTGAAAGTTGGAATATTCTGCTGGTAGGATTTAAAAAATCTTGCAAATCAACAATATCTGAGGTAAACTATCTTCTTTCTTGTCTTGAATTTTCTTAATTTCTTCTTGAAGCTTTACCCATAACGACTTGATTGCAGATAGGTTCCCAGCCATATCCAAGTGTTGATCCCATTTGTAGGTGAAGAACAGAGAGCATATATCATAGGCTTTATTTTCCTCTATTTCTGCAAATAGATTATGCAGCTCCTTCCAAACCTCATCTGGTTTTTCTAGGTTTCTTACCTGAGCTCTTACTTCCTTACTTAATGAAGATGCTAACATAAACATTACTTCTGACTGTGTTTTGTTATACTTATCTATCTTCATTTTGTATTCTTTCATTTCTGCAGCTTGTGTTTCATCTTTAGGTTTCTTTGGCAATTCCATTTTACCAGAAATGGCTTTGTATGCATCTGGGATTCCTTTAAGCCTAATTTGCATGAGATATTTCCAATCATCCCAGTTGTCCTTTCCATGCAGCAATTCCATTTTCTGCATAACGAATTCCATACTAAAGATTTTATCTCAAGCAATAAATTATTCTATTTAAAACCTGTAACACACAATATAAGGGTGTCTGGGCCCATAACCTGTTATAAAATACTATTGTTACAAGTTAAATTTAGAATGAAATGAAAAGAATACTTTACTGGAAGAAACTTTTATAATGTACTATATTGGTCAAACTTATTTACATAACAATTAATGAACAACAGAAAACCATATGTAAAACAAAAACATTTGAATTCTCATAAGGAAGTCAAAGAGTACTAAATATAATAAACATAGTCCAATAGTTATTATATGCAACATATATAAGGCAGCAAGACTTAACTCTAAATAAATGCATTGAAAAAGAAGTAAGTAGGAATGAAACTACCTTATAACACACGGCATTCTACCTGAATGATGACATTGTTATTTCTTAGATATTAACGAGATTTGAAATGTTTTCAAAAATAGTCATTAAGGTACTCTCCTATTTAACAGTATTTTTTTACTAGGAATATTTAGATTTATTTTTTAAATTTTTTATCATTCTCTTTTACCCTTCCCGGACTTATAGGCGGATACATCCGCTAGTATTTTGTGCATTGTGGACTGTAGGCGGATAAATCTGCCTATCTTTTTTTGGCTTCGTGGACGTTAGGCGGATATATCCGCCGATTATTACGACAGTTATTGTTATAGTTGATTGTCTATAACAACATTAATCTTCGTAAAAATTTCAGTTTATTCAATTATATCTTTAAATGTTAGATTGTTAACAATTAGTTGTTAAATGTTGTTCTTAACAATTAGAAATGTTTTTCTAGAAGAATATCTATATAATTAACCCTTTGGGTCTCAAGTGCCGATCACATTGGCACTACAGTTTTATCTGAAAAAATCGTGATTGGGCCGTTACGATAAGTCTGCCGTACGGTATGATTGGCCATTATGATCAGCACTGCCGTTACAATCGAAAATTCCCGAGTGCCGGGCAAATATATATGTTTGCAAAAAAACCCAAGTACCTATGTCATCGGCTTTTCGTAAATCTACAACTATAAAATTATTTATCAAACTATTCCACCAAAATATATATCAAACGAGAGCAAATTAACAAATGGCATTGTAGCTAAAATGGATTTTATACATACAGCACGTTTCTCAATTTGCACTGATGTGGTCTTGAGTATTAGAAGTTTTGTCTGAAAATTTGAAAAAGGACTAACCTGACTTATCTGTCCTCTGTTATTTTATTTCTTTTTAGAAGCTCTTATTACTCCAAACTAAGACTCTATTCCTTATATTACTTTTCATTAACAATTTTCCATTTGCATGGGCATGAACTTGTTGTTAGTGTGAATAAACATTAGACTATCTTACCATTTGAACTAGTGTATGCCTAGGCCTAACTTGAGATCTCTGTCCTTTGGTGTGGAGTTTTATTTACCTTATTTATTATGAGAGAACTTAACTTTTTATGAATTATAGTTACTTATATAGAGTTGTATGGTTCTGAAAATTATTGTATAGCAGGCCTAGTTGAAATTTATAGCCTACAGTAATCAAAATGAGTGAAAAAAAGGTCACAAAGAAAACATAAGTCCCTGAAAGTGAACGTACACTTACTAAATTATGTGTTTTTTTTTAAGCTCTACAAAATGTTTTCAAAGAAAATGCTAAATTTTATGTTTTTTGGGTAAAAAATGGGAAAAACCAAATTTTACCCCATAAAACCCCCTATAAACCCCTGTTCCTGTAGTCCGATCATGCTGGTTTTCGAACTCGTTTGAAGAAACGTAGGTTTACACGTTTCTACCTCATCAAAATCGGATAATTTTTTTTTGAGTTATCACGCTAACGGACACATACATATACATATATATGAATTTGAACGAAGGGTGTTTTTGGCCTCTGGGGACCTCAAAAAGAAAAAGTAAATCAGTCCCGGGTCCAGGTCTTACCATGAGTACGGTACTACGGTAATAGCTTATTTCCTATATGGGGAATTCACTAAATATTCCCTATATGGAAAATTCGCTAAAAACAGACAGAATCTCAATTTCATTATAATTAGTATCAAAAAAGCGAAAAATCGTTGTCACAAGCCATTTTGAACCTAATATGATTTTGTTTGTATCGTATTTTTATCTGCCGTCTTTAGTGAGAATAAAAGTCGAACAACGGGTCTCAATGACTAGAGGGGAGAAAAATGCTGTGCGAGTAGCACTTAAACTTAATCAAGATCATGTATCTTTTTTTTTAATTGCATACTTTTACAATAAAGGGTTGTTATTAAATCAGCAATCAAATGTCTGTCTATGGTTTGTAATAAAAATGTTTTTCTTAAATTATAAAATGCTTGTTTACAGTATTATTTTATTTTAAATATTAAACCCAATTAACTACAACCGAGCAAGGCTCGGTCCCCTGGTACTATAAATAAACAGTCATATGTTTCAATAATTGTTTATGTTAATAAAAGATAATAGTTTAGAGCGTTGTTGTTCAATAAAAGAAATAGAGAAGATGATTTTTGTTAAAATTTAATTTGTCATTTCTGAAGTATAATCTTAAGTAATCTTCCGTGATATCAAATTAGTTGAATCACTTATATTGACGATTTCAAGCACTAGCATGAATTTTCATATTTAAAAGATATGTGTAATCCTATACTCTAATACTAAACTGCTATGGGAATGCAGGGAAACAGGTCCATGACGTAGGAAATGGTGTAGGACTTAGTAAAGGCGAACCGTGTGGAGTTTGGGAATGGATTTATGTATCTCCAATACTAAGACTGCTTTCAGAGTGAACTAATGATTTTCCCCGAGCAAAGCTCGGTCCCCAGGTACTAATTATTGATGAAAGTAAAAGAATATTTATTTCAGAAAGAATAGATTAACTTACATACCAATTTAAATTCCAGTAGGCCTACCTCAAATCCTCAATTTTTAAACAAGCATTAGTTTAAACTCAGTTTAAATCATGTTGTAGTATATGGTCACCGGTAAAAAAGCAGTATTAAATGAAATGTAATACCTATTATAAATCATACATTTGCTGCGGTCGGTTTATCGTCTTCTGCAGTCACAAACACATTATCATTTTAATCCACGATCGCAGCAAAATCCTGGACACATCCCGCGGTCGTGTACACCATCGTTTCCCACGACCTCGGAAATGTTAGAATTGTCATCTGCGATCGCAGAAATATCCTGAGGATCTCCTGCAGTTTGTAGACAATATTGCTGACTCCCGCGGTCTTGGAAACGTCATCATAGGTGTCAGCGATTGCAGCAAATACTTGGACATCTCCTGTGGTTGTGTACACATCACCAGCATCGTGCAATTACGGAAACGTAATCAACATCTATCCAAAAGAGTGAATTTTTCGATCGCACGAACGTTGCAGAGGTTTTTCACGATAGGGATCGTAAAAGTTGGCTCGAGCTTGATATTCTGACTTGTGCTCGATCTTGTAGGCCAGCCCAGCTTGAGAATCGAGTTGTTTGCATACCTCTACTCTTTAAGTCTACTAAAATTTAAGGCACTGCTGATTGCATATTTTTTTAGTTTTCTTTGTTGTACTGTAAGGTTGCAGGCGAGACTTCACAATAAAAAAATCACCATATGTAAGAAAAGAAACCACACTGAACCACTCAAGATAGCTTGCATTTAAACACTTGAGAGTGTTGCTTTTTAAAGAAAACTAGTTGTTTCCAGTTAATAATATTAACTACATTTCAATGTCATTTTAATCATTTAAAAACATTTTGTCTTACAGAATTATATATAAAGGATTTTACCTCATCACTACATAATAAATCTAAAGTCAATAATCAATACAGTTCTAATAAAGGTTTTAACAGAGTACACAATACTGCCTGACAGAACAGTTAACACTTACATCTTACTTTTTACATGTTTAAAGGTAAGACTAGTTAAAGGTTATCTCTTTCCATACAATGTTTTTTCATAAACACTCTAATAACGTCTTTAATCATATGACCTTGTTTTGTTGTTCTTTCACCATTATTTTTAGTTAATGAAAAGCGCAGTACTTACTTAACTTATTTAACTTAAGCGCGGTAGATTTAACTTTTCCAAAACCAAACAATAATTTCTTTATCTGAATCTAGAACTAAATATGAAACTCCTTGACTGAAACCCCTTTTAATAAAACCTGCTGTTACAAAACTTTACAGTAAGGTCCTAACCCAGATTCACTAGCACTCTACCAAAGTTAACTGGACCTCTGGGCACCCTGGCCCAAACAACTGCCCCCTGGATCAAACACCCTGCCGTACTTGCAGCAGTCTTAACAGCCTACTGTATTTAACTCCTCTTATCATTACAGTCAGTCAATTGTAACCCAGTGTACAAAATATCAATACTTCTGTCAGATAAGAACAGCTCTACTTGTGGACTACAATGTTGTATTGTTTTACAGTACGTAACCACCATGATCCCTTTCCTAGTGATCGTAAGGAAGCTGCAGACTCGTGATGACAGTGAGGATCAGTTCCCTTACACTCAGATAAGAACAGCTTTAGCTACAGATGATCTGTGGGATTGGAGTTTTCAGGTCCTGCAGATGTACTCTTTGTGTGTTTCTACCAAAACACACTTTTTCTCGGTAAGCAAATAGCAGGTAACACTATTTGATTATATAATTATAGGCTTAAAGGGCTAAGTTTTTTGCCTGAATCCCACGCAGTGCATATGCCCCTCTACAATGAGTTGGCTTTATTAAACTAAAGGTGTGATTTTTGGATGTTTAAGACAGGTTCCTGTTACTTTGAGGCTGAAACTCAGATAATGAATTACATAGTAAGTGATTGCCCATAACAAAGCTTAACAAGTGAGTTAGCTTGTATTGTCAACCTAGTTGAAGTTGAAGCAGCGATAAGATGGATTAAATAGCTGGATCTGGATTGTATGAAAGTTAAGTGACTGAGGTGCTTTGAAAAAGTCGGTACGATACGGTTCTGGCCTAGCTACCGCCATCGGTTCGGTACAGCATTTTACTTGGTACAGATTTGGTTTGGTACAGCCTATAATAATTTATTACTTTCAATTCACTATCTTAGTCAAAAAGTAGTTTTTCTCAGGTCAAACAGTAAAACTAATAGGACAAGCCAGACAAGGAATGTAAAAAGGATTTAAGTAGATGTCACACAATTTAAGCAAGAGTTGTTTAAATGGTCATCAAAGGAATATTAAATATAAAATACTTTTGCAGTATTATGTATGTTGTTTCATTCCCTTGTCCCTTTTTTTAATTAAACTAAAAAATCTTCAAACCTAAAATAAAACTGAAAAAATATAATAAGAAACAGGGACATGATCTATTTTAAAATTATGAGAAAATACCCCCGCCGCAGCAAACATGCCGACTAAGCGAATTTCTATTTGTCTAAATTGATTTGTAATTAAATTAAAATAATATATCGTTTAACAAGCTCCTAGGTTTGCTGCTACAAGGAAACTATGATAAAGTGTGTTTTTTAGTAAAGTTTAGTATATGATAAATGAAATTGCCAAGTTTGATCAAAGTATATCCCTAAATAAGCAAACTAAAATATTTTACAATATTCCCCATAAAAATAACATGGGAATTTTAAATTTAAAACTTTTTGAATTTTCTCCGTATCCAATAACCTTACAAAAACATTTCAATATATTAAATTTTTTGTTTTTAGCGAATTTCCCTATAGGGAAGTAGCTATTACCGTAGGTCTCATGGTAAGACTTAGGCCCGGGACCGATTTACTTTTTCATTTTGATGTCCCCAGAGGCCAAAAACACCACTCGTTCAAATTTTTATATATGTGTATATATATATATATATATATATATATGAAAAATAGAAAAATAGGGCTACTATATATAAATAAAGATTAAACATTAATAAACTTAGTACCCAAGTAAAATTATTTATTAAAATATTTACTGACTATAGTTTCGGCTCTAAGGCCATTTTCAAAGTAAACAAAAATCAAAATAAGATATGTAAATAAATAAATAACATATGATATTATAAAACTTTTCTAACTTGTAACATAATTTTGTCTTCATTGATTAATTTATATACTATATGATGTGTTGTACTTATTTTCATTAATATTTTCTCAATTTTGCTATTTTTTCATATATTGGATTATTCAATTTTGGAATCATTGTATTTAAAATGTTTGATTTGTTATTTTTGTAGTTCATATAAATATTAATTTCTTCTTTTACATTTAATTTTTCTCTGTCTTTTTCAATTTCTAATATTGTTAAGTTTTCTTCGATCTTAGTAAACTTATGTTTGGATTTTAGTAAATGATCTGCAAAATTTGATTTCATTGATGTTTTGTTCTTCGATTTATATGCCTGTATATGTTCGTTGAATCTAACTTTAAAATTTCGATAGGTTTGTCCAATGTAGTAGTTGTCACAGTCAGAACATTTAATTTTGTAGATACCAGATGCATTGTATATATTTGCTGTATTGTTTGTTATAGGATTGTTGGTTTTATTTTGTATGATTTTAAAAATGTTATTTTTTGTTCTGTAGCTTAATTTTACTGGGGTATGTTTGAATGTTTTCCTGATTGCTTTGTTAAAATTGTTGTTGTATGGGACGCACATGAATTTCTTTTCTTCTTTGTGTTTCAAATTGTTTTCTAAGTTTGATTTTTAATAAAATCAAAAAAATTATCAACAAAATTAAAGATATAGATATTCCTAGCGATGTTTTACTCTTATCTTTTGATGTAAACAATATGTATACGAATATTCCAACCAAGGAAACATTATCTATATTGAAAAGAAACCTAATAAACCACAACAAATTGAAAATAAATGAAATAAATGATATTATCAAACTTACAGAGGTAATTGTTAAGCAAAATTACTTTAGTTATGATTCGTCTTTCTATCTTCAAGAAGATGGTCTACCAATGGGATCTCCCCTTTCAGGACTTTTATCAGAAATCTTTATGACAGAAATGGAAAAATCCAAAATTATTAATGACACAAATCCATTCATAAACAACATTGTTTATTGGTACAGATATGTAGATGACATTTTATGCTTATTTAAAGGAAATGACAATGAATCTGAACAATTATTAACGTATCTCAACAATATTAATAAGAAAATTAAATTCACCAAAGAAACCCAACAAAAAGAAATCAATTTCCTAGATCTAACAATTTCCATTCAAAACAACAAACATTCTTTTAACATATTCAGAAAACCCACAACTACAGACATAATAATTCCAAAACATTCGAATCATCCATGGACACACAAAATTGCAACTTTTCATTCATTAATACACAGATTAGTCAACGTTCCTTTAAATAAAGAAAATTACAAGAAAGAAGTCGACACTATAAAATATCTAGCTGAAAAAAATGGATATAGAAGCAAAATGATTGATAATATGATCAAGAAGAAAATTAAGAAAAGAAATGAATTAAAATCAAACTTAGAAAACAATTCGAAACACAAAGAAGAAAAGAAATTCATGTGCGTCCCATACAACAACAATTTTAACAAAGCAATCAGGAAAACATTCAAACATACCCCAGTAAAATTAAGCTACAGAACAAAAAATAACATTTTTAAAATCATACAAAATAAAACCAACAATCCTATAACAAACAATACAGCAAATATATACAATGCATCTGGTATCTACAAAATTAAATGTTCTGACTGTGACAACTACTACATTGGACAAACCTATCAAAATTTTAAAGTTAGATTCAACGAACATATACAGGCATATAAATCGAAGAACAAAACATCAATGAAATCAAATTTTGCAGATCATTTACTAAAATCCAAACATAAGTTTACTAAGATCGAAGAAAACTTAACAATATTAGAAATTGAAAAAGACAGAGAAAAATTAAATGTAAAAGAAGAAATTAATATTTATATGAACTACAAAAATAACAAATCAAACATTTTAAATACAATGATTCCAAAATTGAATAATCCAATATATGAAAAAATAGCAAAATTGAGAAAATATTAATGAAAATAAGTACAACACATCATATAGTATATAAATTAATCAATGAAGACAAAATTATGTTACAAGTTAGAAAAGTTTTATAATATCATATGTTATTTATTTATTTACATATCTTATTTTGATTTTTGTTTACTTTGAAAATGGCCTTAGAGCCGAAACTATAGTCAGTAAATATTTTAATAAATAATTTTACTTGGGTACTAAGTTTATTAATGTTTAATCTTTATTTATATATCTAATATATAAAATTCTCGTGTCACAGTGTTTGTCTGCAAACTCCTCCGGAACGACTTCACCGATCGTTATGAAATTTGGTGTGTAAATTCTGTAGGTATGCGTATCGGACGTAAACTATTTCCCGTTTCGAAATTCTTAAAAGGGCTCCGCCCCAGTGGCTCTGGAGTTTCCCATGTTAACCTTATGAGAAATGGAATTAATGAATCTTAACAGCTGTTTCAATTAAACAAGTTGGTTCTGTTCTATGATGTTCAATAGCATTAAAGTTACAAGGATTACCAACAGGGTGCAGCACTATTATTTCTTTTACATATTTATGACAACAGCTAATTTGCAACCAAAAGGTGAATGAGCGTAGCGAACGAGCTCCAACCTAAAGGCAAGTGAGCGCAGCGAACGAGCTCCAACCCAAAGGTGAGTGAGCGTAGCGAACGAACTTCAACCAGGACGTGATTGAGCGATGCGAACGAGATCATCTTGAATATTAAACGTAACGGTACTTTCTTTCCATCGGTCTGTCTTAGGGGAAACCTATAACTTAGGCGATACGAAGTTCGCCGGGTCAGCTAGTATATATATATATATGTGTCCGTGAACACGATAACTTGAGTAATTTTTATCCGATTTTGATGAAATTTGGTTTGAAGGTGTAAGGCGGGATAAACTTGAATGAGTTCGCGATCCAGCATGATCGGACCATGGGAACAGGGTTTTATGGGGGATTTTATGGGGTAAAAATTGGTTTTTCTCAATTTTGACCCTCAAAACACAAAATTTCCCAATTTTTCTCTAAACCTTCTTAAAGAGCTTAAAAAAACAAACAATTCAGTATATCAAAGTGTTTTTGTACGGTTATTGGTTACGGAGAAAACTAAAAAAAATGGTAAATTTAAAATTCCCATGTTATTCTTATGGAGAATATTGTAAAATGTTGTAGTTTGCTTGTTTATGGATATCTTTTGATCAAACTTGGCAAATATATTCATTTTATACTAAGCAATAATTATTTTACTTAAAACACACACTTTATTAGTTTCCTTGTAGCAGCAAACCTAGGTACTCGTTAAACCTAATGTTATTTAAATAGATCAATTGAAAATCAATTCAGCCAAATGGAAATTCGCTTAGGCGTCAGGTTTGCTGCGGCGGGGGTATTTAAGCTTAAAGTTCTTAATGTAGAAAACAAAGGCTTTACGAAATGGCAACATTCCCGATTTTCAGGACGTAATTTGATTTGATCCGATCGTTGGCGATTTTGTCGCTTCGCGGGTAAAGATTACGCCGCTATCGCGAGAGATGTTCACGATAGTGTTCCCGCCAACACAGGTGGATACGTCATTTCCCCGATCGCGCCGTGACCATGAGTCATTTAGATGATTACGCCTTGACCGTGAGTCATACTGACAATCACGCCGCAACCGCGAGTCATATTGACGATCATGCTCAGACCACGAGTCATTTCGACAATCTCACCGTGGCTGTGATTCATTACGACGATCGTGCCGTGACTGCGGAGTCATTACGATGATCGCGTCGTGACTGCGGAGTCATTACGATGATCGCGTCGTGACTGTGGAGTCATACCTATGATTGCGCCGTGACCCCTGAGTAATTTTAACGTTCGCGCCGTGACCGCGAGTCATACTGAAGATCACGCAGTGATGGCGAGTCATACCGAAGATCACGCCAACGATCGTGAGTATCGCGCCCAGACCGTGAGTCATTAGACGATCCTGCCGTGAGTCATTTCGACGATCCTGCCGTGACCACGAGTCATACCGTCGATCATGCCGTGACGGCGGAGCCATACCAAGGATCGCGCCCAGACCACGAGTCATTTCGGCCATCGCGCCCAGACCACGAGTCATTTCGACCATCGCGCCCAGACCACGAGTCATTTCGACCATCGCGCCCAGACCATGAGTCATTTCGACCATCGCGCCATGGCCACAAGTCACATGTTTCTATACCTATAAATTGTTGCCCATTTTTTTTATTTTTATAGATCAGTACCACAGACGGTAAAAATTGATTATATTTATCTTTTTTTGTAACTGCAATACTCAAGACTTTTAAAACAAACCCTTTTTATGCACAAGAAAAAATCCCACCCCGTCCCGAAAATTGGGAAGGAAATAAAAATCCCATCTCATCCAGTCCAGAACTAGAAATTCAATCCCGTCCATACCTAAAATATATAAGTTGAAATTAGAGTTTTATAAGTAGGTTAAAGTTTTTTTGTTGTTTATGTGATGTGATTGAGGCTTGAAAGACTTAAGCCACTTAATTTAGTGATTTTAGTGTAAATATATAAGTTTTTTTTAATGTAAGTAAGTAGTTAGTTTTCATCAGCTTTGTTGGTCTCACATAGTTATTTTCCCAGTGATGTCAGCCAAAGGAAAAGCCAATAACTTTGTAAAATTTCAGTCAATATTTATAATTTCAATTTGTGCAATTTATATATTCCTAATTGCTATATTTATGGCATCTTTTTTATTTGCAAGCATAAGAGAACTAGCTTACACATATGAAGACATTATCCTACTAATATTATAAATGAGAAAGTTTGGATGTATGGATGGATGTATGGATGTATGTTTGTGACAAGTGAACGCGAAAAATACTGGACGGATTGGGCTGAAATTTGGCATGATGATAGCTCACATTCCCGATTAACATATAGGCATATTCTTATTTCAAAAATCCTTTCGGGCTCCGCCCCAGTGGCTCTGGAGTTTCCCATGTTAACCTTATGAGAAATGGAATTATTGAATCTTAACAGCTGTTTCAATTAAACAAGTTGGTTATGTTCTATGATGTTCAATAGCATTAAAGTTACAAGGATTACCAACAGGGTGCAGCACTATTATTTCTTTTACATTTATGAAAACAGCTAATTTGCAACCAAAAGGTGAGTGAGCGTAGCGAACGAACTTCAACCTGGAGGGGAGTTAGCGTAGCGAACGAGCTAACCTGAAGGCAAGTGAGCGCAGCGAACGAGCTCCAACCTAAAGGTGAGTGAGCGTAGCGAACAAGCTCCAACCTAAAGGTGAGTGAGCGTAGCGAACAAACTTCAACCAGGACGTGATTGAGCCATAAAACGAGATAATCTTGAAAATTAAGAAGTTAAACGGGGCAAAGCCCGCGGGTTACAGCTAGTAATTCATAAATAAGGAAGTAATGGTAACAATGAACAGCTAAGGTACCTATTGTCCTAGCACTAAGGTGAGTAAAATTTAAAAAAGACCAGCAAAACGTAAAGTACAACCCTCGATGAAAGGTTAAGATGTTGCAGTACTCAGCCATTAACTATAATTTTCTAAAAACACATTCAAGAAGGGTAAATTTGTGGGATAAAATTTAAAAAAATTACAAACCTTCTGTAGAATATCCAGCGAGGTCCCTGAAATTTGTTCTTGAACTTTTTCATGTTATTAGCCCTAATGTAAAAACAAATGTAGGCTTTATCTCATGCTATTCTGCAACATGTGGCTGAAATGTGTTTAAATGTCCAGTCTACTGTATCCAATCAATACAAATAACAGGTTAGCTCAGTGAATATATGCTTTAACTATTTCTCTTTTGCTGTGTTACCAATTTATGTTGTTTTCTTGTTTGCAGACAAAACAATACTTCTTACTAAAAGATAAGATAATTTTCATTTTGGAGGAGTGTGGTCTATTTAGTGAGCTAAAGGTGAAAGATCTCATCAAGCACTTAAGCAAAAGGTATGTCTGAGCATCTTTCATAAAAATTTCTTTTTAGTTGATTGTGATAGCCTATTGAATTTTGAACTAGTATAAAACTATTCTAATATCTATGCTAACGGTTAACTCATTCCCTTAAGAATAGCATTTTTCTTTGAAAATATTTTTTTTTATGTGTTACACTTCAATATGTCAGACAAACCCGGTGTCCCAATTAGACGTAAAATAAAATTGAACTAATATTACAACCGCCGCAGCAAACCTTCAGCTAAGCAAATTTTGATTCACCTGATTTAATTTTCAATTAAATCCTATACTCTAATACAAGCAAATGTTTGCTTGTATGTATGTATGTATGCTTGCTTGCACCAAGATCTCGCAAACGCCTCCGACGATTTTCTTCAAATGTTGTAAATAGTTTATTCCTGGCCTAAAAACGAGTTTACTGCAGTTAGAACTGCCAACAAAAATCTAATTACGTAGAAAAATTAAATTTAAAGTCACATTTTTTTAACATTAGTCTTATAGTTGCTAAGTAACCATGTTGGTTGAATTAAATATCAAGAAAAAGGTAAACAAAAGACTTGTAAGTTGTCTATCCACAGTATGTTAGCAAAACAAAATACAGTACAAAAGGAAAAACATCGGTTGTTACTATTGAGCAAAGATTATACTGAAGATTACTCAATACATTGTAGCAGGAATCTTTTTTATCTATGATTGTAGTAAAGGCTAGCAGTGTGGTTTGTGCGAACTGTTTAGTGTTTATGCCGATAGGATTAAGGTATCTGCAATCCAAAAATGCTATGGAAAGGGAGGGAAACAGGTCCGTGACGTAGGAAGTGGTAAAGGAAGTGGTAAGGTGGGCAGTGCGGAGTGTGGGAACTGTTTATGACGATTAGATTAAGGTATCTGCAAACCTTAAATGCCGTGAGAAGGGAAGGAAACAGGTCCGCGACGTAGGAAGTGGTAAAGGAAATAGAAATGGTGATCAGTTCGGAGTGTGGGAACTGTTTATGACGATACGATTTAGGTATCTGCAATCCTAAAATGCTATAGGAAGGGAGGGAAACAGGTCCGCGATGTAGGAAATGGTGAAGGAAGTAGTAAGGGCAAGCAGTCCGGAGAGTGGGAACTGCTTATGTCAATTTGATTTAGATATCTACAATCCTATATTGCCATGGGAAGGGAGGAAAACGGGTCTGCGACGTAGGAAGTGGTGAAGGAAATAGTAAGGGCAAGCAGTCCAGAGTGTGGGAACTGTTTATGACGATTAGATTAAGGTATCTACAATCCTAAAATGCCATTGGAAGGGAGGAAAACAGGTCTGCGATGAGGAAGTGGTGAAGGAAGTAGCAAAGGCAAGCAGTCCGGAGTGTGGGAACTGTTTATGACAATTAGATTAAGGTATCTACAATCCTAAAATGCTATGGGAAGGGTGGGAAACAGGTCCGCGACGTATGAAGTGGTGAAGGAAATAGTAAAGGAAAGCAGTGTGGAGAGTTGGAACTGGAAACCGTTTGTAGCAGTTAGATTAATGTATCTGCAATACTGAAATGGTATGAGAAGGGAAGGAAACGTGTCTACGACATAGGAAATGGTGACAGAAGTAGTAAGGCCACCAGTGCAGAGTGTGGGAACTGTCTGTGGCAATTATGTATCTGCAGTTCTAAAATGGTATAGGGAAGGAGGGCAAACAGATCCACGTAGGGAGTGGTGAAGGAATTAGTAAAGGCGAGCAGTGTGGAGTTTGGGAATGGATTAATCTATCTGCAATACTAAACTGCTTTCAGAGTAAACTAATAATTTTCCCCCGAGCATAGCTCAATCCCCAGGTGCTATATTTTACTAACATTAGGATGGTTATTGGAGGGACTATTTTCCCACACAAAACATGTCACAAGGTTTCATGGGTGTCTCCCCAACTTACAAAAAATCAGATAGACCATTTTGCAACAAACCGAAAATGGAGGCGATCTCTAATGGATGTGAGAGAGGATAAGAGAGGAGCTGATATAGGAAGTGATCACCATCTCATGATTGCAACAATATGACTAAAGATTTCTGCAGTTAAATTTAGAGAGAAAAATGGAAGGAAAAGACGTTTTGACACTGGCAAGCTCAAGAATCTAGAAGTAAAGGAACGCTTTACAATTCCAGGAGTTAGAGCTGCATGAGGAGGACACAAAGTCAATGGAGAAACATAAGGAATACACTCGAGGAGACATGTGAAGAGTATTTAAGCTTCCAAGATGTAAGGCGTAAAGAGTGGATAACAGAGGAATCATGGAATCTCTTGACGGAAAGGCGGCATAGGAAAACAGTGTGGAATAACAGTCGCACAAGAAGACAAAAGGCTGAAGCCCTGAGAGAATACAATAAAGCCAACCGTAGAGTTAAAAGAAGATTGAGACGCGATAAGAGGGACTTTTTTTACCAAGCCATGTATGAGAATTACTCCTGCAAAGTAGAGCACTGCAGGTCTTTGTCAGAGCCAATAACCTGTAACTCAGGAGTCAAACAAGGATGTTTGTTATCACCTATTCTCTTTCTCATGACTTTAGACCTACTAATGAAGGAAGCAATGAACCGTAACAGGGGAATCCAGTGGGGGATAAATTCAAGGCCTGGAGACCTGGATTGTGCTGGTGATCTTTGCATTATGGCCCAAAGCTTCAGAGATATAAAAACTTAACTAAACAACACAAGAGTTGAAGCACAGCAGGTGGGCCTGAAAATAAATGCTAGAAACCCCAAGGAAATGAGGTTAAATAACCGGAACAACACTCCCCTCAGAAAAGGTGAGGATGATATTGAGCAGGCTAATAAATTTTGTTATTTGGGCAGTATGGTGGCTGAAGGAGAAGGTTCCGATCGGAAAATTGAAAATCGCTTGAACAAAGCAAGAGTGGCATTTGCCCAGCTGTATCCAGTTTGGAGAAGCTGTGAAATAAGAAGAAAAACTAAACTCAGAATCTTTAACTCAAACGTTAAGTCTGCCCTCCTTTATGGCTGTGAGACATGGAAGGTGACTAACACGAGCACACGCAAACTGTAGACTTGGGTTAATAAATGTTTACGAACCATTCTCAGGGTGTGTGGCCTGAAGTCATCTCTACTAATGAAAATTTGTGGGCCACAACCAACCAAGAGCCTATGTCTATTCAAATAAACAGAAGGAAAATGGAGTTAAATTGGGCATATTCTTCGGCAACCACAAGATACAGTCGTGAGACAAGTCCTGGAATGGTATCCACAGGGAAACAGAAGAGGGAGACCAAGAACCACGTGGAGGCGGGCTGTGCAGAAGGAATTACAGAGTAAGGGCATGCCATGGGGTAGGGAAAAGGACCTGGGCAACCAAAGGGACCGCTGGTGAGTTTTTGTCGAGGCCCTAGGAGCACAAGGAAATAAGTCAAGTAATTCAACATTAGGTTTAACGAGTACCTAGGACTGTAGGCTGCTACAAGGAGAGTAACAAAGTGTATTTTTTAGTAAAAAATGTTTAGCTTAGTATAAAATAAATAGATTTGCCAAGATTGATCAAAATTAGTGATGGTCGGATCCGGATATCGGACTACCGGATCCGCGGGATCCGAGCTAGAACCGGCACCCGATCGGATCCAAAAAATTCCGGATCTTGGTCTGGATCCGGTGTTGATGGATCCGATTTTTACAAATTTTTTCCCAATTTTTTCCTAATACAAAGCTGTCTGTATCCATGTAAGATACCGATTTTCCCCTGATTTGTTTACTAACACAATGCTGTCTGTATCACTGTACAACCCCTATTTTTTCACTATCACAAAGCTTTCTGTATCTGTTCTATTTCTTATTTAGATAAAAACGAGCTGGTGGCCCGTCCTACATACGGGAATCGAGTTGTCAACTAAAACGGAATAATTCAGAACATCTAGTTTACATGCATAGACACAAATTCTGGCAGTTTTAATGGGGAAGATCACCTTATAAACAAATGTAACGTGACCACCTATTTATTCCATTTGAATATGGACCTAAAATATGGCGATATGCATTTTAAATCCGATAATTTTACCATAAAACGGCATTTGTGTCGATTTGAAAAATCTTGAAGCGAGATTGGCGACCGATTCACACTGGTTTTGAGTAGAGTAGTTACATGCCACCTCTAATTGCATACTGTACTAACTACCAATGTACTTACCGTAGCTTATCTTACCTCCGTGACCACTGAAACTTTTATGAGGATTCTCTTCTATCACCTGCCTCTTCAAAATTTAGATCCCAGTCTGAGGATGCATTTCATAACATGATATTTCCCGTCTATCGTGTGGTACTCCTTGGAATATACTTTTTTAAAGTTTATGCACAGCCTGTCAATCCAAGCTTTACCTACTTCTGGAAAGCATCCCTATATTTGGGTGTTAACACATTTCTCTTAGCTCTCTGTTCTTTTTTATTTCGACCTCCGGGCCGTTATCTTGAACTGGTCTGTATATTTTCTCTGCACTTTATTATCTAACCCACCATTGAGGTTTTTCGGTTCTTTGGTCAGTGCCCAAGTTTCTCAATCATCAGCACTACGGGGATAGTTGGTATCGTATGAGTCGACTTTGGTTTCTGCTGCACCCTGCAGTTTATTTGACAGTTTTATAGAGACCTACTTCACCGATTGACGCTATCATTACTAACCAAAATTTTAGTATGCCGACATACTCACATTCAAACATACAGAAAAAGAAGTATCAACACGTAAACCACTTATATCTTAAAGAATTAAGCGATAAACTGCTGAAAAGATATTTCCCAAATAAGAGTTGAAATTTGCAATGCATAAACTAAATACTTACACAGATTGCATTTACGACAAAACTTGATTAAACGCAAGTGTTTGAGATGTTTAGATCAAAATAACACATTTCCTGATAACGCAGATCCTTCACGGTAGGGGAAAACTACCTACATTTTAAATTGAAATAGTATGTAGGCAAACACCAACGAACAATATTTTTGTAAACAAACAACTCATAACATAAACA